ACTTTGCGAAAGAGTGCGACAGTACGTCACTAGAATCCTTAATAAGGCGGCAAGTGCTATCGAATCCACCTAAGATAAAGTCAGCGCCGAGTCTCTCGGTTTCTAGGTTTCACTTGGTGACCCTTGAGATGGGCTATTATTAAATTACGGAAAAAAGAAGAAGCTCCAGCTCTAAATTAAGACCAACGTGTAATTATTTTCGTTTAATTCTTACGGTACCGAGTTTACAACACGCAACGAGCGTTTGGGTAAAAATCGCTCTGAAACTCTGAAATTTACTTTCAACTCGATGAATGATAGCCGGTCTCTATAACGGAAGTGTTGAATCGATCGGATTGAATTACGGGGACCCGTGTTGAACTTTGTGCAAATAGATTGTGTATGGTTTTAATTATCATTGAAATTAGCAAGAAACAGGAGATATCGTTAGTGCTTAGCAAATGACTAAGGATTAAGCAACGCTCGCACAATGCATGTGCATGGACGTGAGCGTATTTCGTCGTTGTAATATCCCGGAACTACCCTATGAAGTATGACACGTGATAATGAGGTACCTTGCACACAGCCGTTGCAATGCCAGGCTCTACTGTAACTTGCCATAGTCGACAACGTCAAGCACAAATTGCACGCACCGTAAGCTCGCCGAGCACTTGCGTTATGGCGTTTATTTAGTATGATTACTAGGTCGCGGATAACGATTGACAATGTGTCCAAGATCAGTTCACGTTTACATAAACGAGAGTATAGAAATAAAGAGAGAATGTTAGAAGAGAGCGAGCGGCGCACTTTCGAGAGAGGCAGATCGCCGCAAACAGCGAGATTTATCTATTGTGGTTAAATAAACATAAGCTCGCAGAGATAATAATTTGCCTAGCTTTTGTCCGGTATCTCTATAGATCGCGGAGGCGTGAAAACACACCGCGCGCATGCGAGCGTTATCCGCATTCGCGTGTACATTGTGTTTTTATACATTTTTATACGGGATATATGATTCACTTCTTGTCTCTTCCATTGACAGAATGACCGAATTGTTTTTTATCTACCTCAAAAAATTACACGATGCTGAATAATAATATTGTCAATTTCTAACGCAATAGCGTTCGTTATGAAGAATCTCTCATTCGATCGTACATTTATAGTTTTTACCATGTCGCATTTTCGTCAAGAGGTATTAACGCAAATTTGAATATACATTTATCGCGCGCAATATCCGATTTTAATTTTAACGACAGTTGATTTAATGAAGAGATATACTATACGTATACTGAACTTTTTTCGGTCGGAGAAAATAATGATCATTATCAGCTCACACACACACACACACACACTGTGTATCTTCATAATTGCTGGACTATAAAATTCTATGAAAATAATTTGGCGGAAAATTTAGACGATAAGATTACATTATTTAATCGCACAAAAAGCATTCTACTTTCCATCTTACAGTTCGGGCAATATTAATGCCTCGACATTTCACTTAAAGGAAAATCTACTCCAAGTTGGTCAAAGAATTAATTAAGGTTAATGGTTCTGGAACATCTTGTATAATCCGCGTCTCGATCGAACGTCTCAGGGGAAAAGTCGGAAGTTGCAAATTTCTTCTCTTGCTTCATAATTTCATTTATAGCGTAATCGAAACTCATTGATGTCACAATAAAGCCTAATGTAACGGCCGATAAAGTTTCGAACTTGAATCGACATTTACACGCGGGATAATATTGAATTCGGCACTTGGCACTCTTCGTGAAGGCTACAGAGTGCTGAGAGGGAATATTTTCGTGCGTTTTGCGAGTTACCGAAAATAATGCGCGACGTAAAGAGAGTGCACTGCGCGTCCAGATCGTCTCCGACGCCGTAACACCATAACGTTTGTCGAGAACAACCTCGAACACGAGGGCGATGACATTGACGGCGACGCTACGAATCGGTCTCGACATCGATTCCGGGTTGTCGCTTTCCCGAAGCACCACAGGGAAATTTCAATTCAATTCCCGCGAACGACGAACGAGAAAGTCGTTTCTCAAAACCGGCCACGGTTTCATGCGAAATGACTTGTCGAAGTGAGACTGTCACTCGCAATACTTGATCAAGGTATAGAAAGCGATGTAATACAAAAAGTAACGCAATAATAAGAATACGTGTCGACGCGTTCTTTTGTGTGACGATCTGTCGCATTTGACAATTAAGTTGCATCGTAAAGTACAAGATGTTACGTTTACGTAACACGTCTTCGTGTATCGGGAGCGGTTCCAGGTGATTTCGGGGTCGCCGAGGAAAAATTAATGGAAAAATATGGCATCCCTGCACAGAGATATCCCCCGGTAATTGCCACAGCTTTCGGAAGTTCTCCTAAATATGACAGATGCTGCCGAGGAACTTGATACGAATTTCGTAATGGCTCCATCATAATTACAGTGGTACATTTCCGACTAATACCACGTGAAAAATAACGGGAGGCTCCCACGTAATATTAACGATAAGTGAGAAAGTATCGAGAGCGTATCGAGAATTGACAATTCGGACTGCGAGTCACTACGACAGTCACGTACGCCGACGGATGGATACGTATACAGGGTAAGGTACATATACGCCATACATTGTGAAACCAGTTTGCAATCGGAGTCGATACATTGGCGAAACGGTTCTCTAATATCCCCCGCTTTGATGTCTCGCCCGATTTTATCGAGCCCCGTCGATTGCTTCGGACACAAGACGAGAATTATACACGCCCGTTGCGGCGTGTTTGGAAAGCCTGATTGAAAGCAGAGTCGCACGCGAGACAATCAACCCAAAAAAAAAAGTAAAAAAAGAATAATAATCGACTGCCGACGGAGGATTCATGAGACGTGGAAGAGTTAATAGGAACGAAAGATCGATTGGTGGAAACGATCGGAGTGTTCTGGTCCTCGGCTCTGTGGCCGATTCCGGCGGCGTGCGGTTCCAGCGCAATCTTATAGGAGAATCGCGCGGAGCACCCCGCGGGGAGGAGCCCCATTATCTCTGGCGCGTCAAAATCTTGAACGGGAAGAGACGGCGACTCTTCCCGATGCGCTATCGAGAGCCGGAGATTGGATCTGCCGGTGTGCCTCGTGAATATTCACGAGGGCGCGGATGTCATTTTATGCAGTTGATTCGGCGGTTTGGTGTAAGGTGAGAGAGCCCCGGCGGCGGAGAGGCGCGATCGCTGCCGGTTATTCGTGTGTTAACCCCTGAATAATTGAGGAGCTCGGTATTATCGCGGTGCTCGGGTCGACTGTTCGACTCTCTCGATTGATAGACCACTTGGAATTATGAATCCTTCGACCCTCCACGGCTAATAACTTGTCACTCCCGACGGATTTAACACATCAACGTCAACGTGGACATTTTGTTGAAATGGAGATGTCCACGGACGCGCGTGTCCGAACAGAGAGTACGTCAAACTTCTATCGATACCACCGGCCAGTTGGAGTGCGCGGCGCTCATCCGTGGGCTCGGTGGAGGAAACGCGCGCGTAATATTTCACATAGTCTACCAACGTTGCAGGACCAAAGGAGTCGTTCGAGAGAGGCTTATTCCGCCCGAGCCGCTAAAATATGCATCACCGACGGCGTTTACATGTCGAGATACGGCGCGCGCGTATGTAACATGCAGCGCGCCCTTACACGCTAACGCGATGTACTGGTTGCCCGACGTATCCAAAATTCAAATCACGCGGCACTCTTCCTCGAACGACTCTTCGTAAATGTAAACGTGGACGTATAAGCCCGTGAGACGTCAAAGGTGCCCATAGACATTGCGATTTTACGAGGCAACGTGGCGACCGCACTGGTGTCTGGTGCACAAGAAGCGCACGTGCGCCAAACGTATCGACACGTAATAAGACGACATTATCCATGTGAGAAATAGTAGATATTACAGCGAGGAATATCGATGTCGTTCGATTATAAGATATGTAGCCTGTTGCCCCTAGTCTGCGACGAGATTTTTCCATGTCCTATTTATCACACTTGGAGGATCGAGATAGATCGGGAGATGATTTGTCTACTTAAATATACCACCAGGGTGCATTCCAAGTCGATAAATCGTTGAAAGCGGAAGTCGAAATCGATGAGGGGTAACAGTCCTCCTATTCCTTCAGCAATATAACGCGACTGTAAAACTCCTACTGATGGCTAAGTGTAATTGCAAAGGTATGTTCGACTAATCGATACGCGAGTGAAAGTGCACGCGCACCGTCGTCGGCGATAAATATACGGGAACGGGAGCTTTCGAGACATCGAGAGCCCCGCTAAACGATTTAACGACAACAGCCGGAAAAAAGTGTGCGTGTGATCCGTGAGAGGAAAAAGAAATGGAGTCTCGCTGTATATAGATATCGCCGTTACACGAGAGTCGCCCGACGAAAGCGTTGCGCGACGTCGTTTGGTCGTCCGTGATCGAGGTAGAGTCGATCTTGACTACTTTCCTTCCGTCGTCAAAACGAAACAAACGTAGGACAGTCAGCAGTGGCGCCGAGAGTATAAAGTATCAACGGAAAGTATACTTACAGAAAAGTAAAGACGTATAACACGCGTGTAGATACGTAATATATGCAGCAGTATGTCATTAGCGAGATGACTCCGCCATTCGCTAATTGGAGACACAATTTGAAGGCCGAGCCACAGAACAATTTTTATAAGTGAAAATTTACGATAAATGTATAAACTATGACCCTCTGACGAACTACTGTCTTGAAAGTTTTCAACTTTGTAATATAATAAAATATATTCTATCCGTCAGAAAGTGACTTACTTTTCGAGCTTGCAAGAACTTGAGGTCTCGAAAAAGGAGGGAATTTACATGTGATTTCGTCATACTTTACTGCACGTCTCTTATGGACCTCTATTCCAAGCTGAATATATATACCGTGTATATATTACATATCGCATAAAGAGTAATAATTCCAATGAATTAACCGAAAAGAAAGGAAGGGGTGTGTCTGGCTGGTGTGCAGGCAGGCATGCTACGAGTTACGTTACCTAGGGTGAGCTTCTCGCCGGAATCGGGCGGCAGGGTGAAGCCCAATAGGGCCATGCTCGATATCAGCACGCAGGGCACGATCAGGTTGAAAAAGTAGTAGAGGGTCCTCCTGCGTATCTGTATCGTGAACGTGACGTCGACGTACGGCTCCGGGCAGCATTGGTACATTATCGTGTTCTTCTTTCCCGGCATACCTGGAAAAAGTGCCAGCACCGATGTACACGCCGACATGTCTGTCCGAGGGACTAAATACGACACGGACATTTCAACACGGGCAAAGCAATCGCCCGCCCTTGCGGTTGCATTCCTCGATTACATTCCGAACGACCGTCTCTCATTCTCGCTTCCTTCTATCCTTGCTCGCAGTATATTCCGATCCTATTGTTTTTATAAAATAATCTTCCTCTGCCGAGAAGATAATTAAGTGTCTGCCTATCCACTCATCGATATCTCTCACTACCTTTCTATCTCTATAGCTTTTTCATTATCTCACTGCCCTTTGTCTTCTTTACTTTTTCTTTATACTTTACTACATCTGCGTCTTGAGGAGACTAAAAGCCCAAGACATAAAGTGAGGTCTATCTATCATCCATCCATCTGTTTTATCGCGAGGCTACGTGAACTCGTGAAAGAGCTGTAAATGATGTCGAGTCATGTCGGCAACTTGTGCCGAAAGATTCGAGCGAGCGAGTCACGTCATATCACTTCCCGTAGCAATTTTTCTACGGTTCCTCCTCGTGGTCTTGCTTTAAACTACCTTAGGATTACGGCATGTCTCGTAAGGAACAAAAAGATCTCGCGGAGTCGCGAATTTCCGCTCTCGTTCCAGCCCGTTGCGACGAGTTAAGCTGCCGGTGAACGAGTGGCGGCGACATATGCGCTTCGCAAAACTTGCCGTCCTCGCGAACTTTAAATACGATGCACCTGCTGGCGCGTTCTCTCAATGAAGAAGACGGGGGGAAATTTACTAAAGATTAAAGGCGACCCTTGACCGTAACTGTTCGATACTTTTCAAGGATGGAGGGTTTCTTAATAGCTTCCGATCGGACGGGCTCTCGAATCGAACTCGAACATCGCGATATCGGACACTCACTTGTTGCTGGCTCGGTCTTCAGGACTTTTTCTTTGTATTTTCGGCACGTGGACCGCGCTCGATGCATCCGCCTCGAGATAATTAACGTGTCTCCGCAAACACGGTTTTAGGAATGACACTTTTAATTGCACGCGCGCCACATCGATGTACTACCAACACACATCGATCGTGTATTGTTTCGTCGGTCGAAGCAGGTCGAAGGCATCGAGCTGGTGATTACACGTTTTATTTATTTTTTTGGTATCGTAATTGAGCACACTTTGTCTCTACCACCTTTTAATAGCCGAAGTTTAAAAGTGATTAGCTTTAATTCAATTTTTTTCATTCACAAATTTCATTAATGAAAATTGTTTAAAGAATTTCGTTCTTTAACAAAATTACTAATAGAAATATAAGCATATATATGTGTCAATGGAAATTTTTCATTTTATAAAGCACAATATTGCCCCTTTTATTTTTTACATCTCTCTTGCAGTTCCGTCTAGGATGAATGTTTCATTCTTTCTAGGGATTTGTCACGCGGATATCTTTAGGAGTTCTTGTGAGAAATATAAGCATATATATGTATCAATGCAAATTTTTTCATTCTATAAAGCGCAATATTGCTTCTGTTATTTTTTACATCTCTCTTGCAGTTTCGTCTAGGATGAATGTTTCATTCTTTCAAGGGATTTGTCTCGCGGATATCTTCAAGAGTTTTTTTTTCGAGATGTTAGACCGAAACTCTATATATTCAATCTCCCTTTGTAGTTCCGGCGTGTTGACGGCCCCGAATCCACTTCGAGAAAACCGCCATACACGAATAGCACTTTTAGATACGCGAGCTCGAGGAATGTAGTCATCACCAATAAATGAGGGGTAGGAAAAAGAATGAAGACAAGAAGGAAGATCCGAGGAATAGCGCCATGCGCGAGGGAGAACCGTCATAAAGTTATACGCCATTGCGGCATCGCCGAGACGCAGAGGCCCCATAAAATCTTTCGATTTCTATTTAGTCGCAACATCGATCGCGACTTCGCACAAAAAGCTGCGGGATACCACGATGCAGCATCTGCGAACATGACGGAAAACCTGAGGAGAAGAGAAGGGAAGAGAAATGGAGGGGGTAGTTGCGGTTTCTTAACGGTTTCCATCAGCATTCCTTCACACACCAATGACGCTGTTTCGTATCACCAGCGAAATTTGCGTTCCAGAATCCAGTCGAGAAGCTGGAACGAATCACGACGGCAGAGATTTTCTTTCGCGATACACCCTCTTCTTTTATGAAGGCCGGTATTGGCTGCAGACGGCGACTCTAAAAAAGGGCGACGGGATGAAGTATACGAACTGAGTTAAAAAAGATCTTGCTCGAAACATACAGCAGAATGATTCAAGACAAGAGGGAATTATTCGACTTTTTCAATAATTATACTGGCGGGGTTGAGTAAATACATTCGTATTCGAGAATATTTCAATACACCGGCTGCACGAGACAATCGTAACTCGGATTCGTATCATCGTCCAACGCAATACTTGAACATAGCGCAAAGCTCGTTGGGCCTCTCGTTAGTTGCGAGTATTAGTTTCGTAAATGAAGGATCGCTTTAGGAAGTAGCGATTTGAGGACCTAAGCTTGCGATATTATTCAGCACGATTGCGCTGAATTAACAGATACCCTGATAGTAGTAAAAGCGGATGAAAGATTACATGTTGAAGATGTGGCCGCGTAATTACTGCTCGAAAATAGAATCGTTGAATTCCATAACAGCTCCTTGCGATATATTATTGCATTTTATTCGTAATTCCATTCCCATTCTGTACCTTCACTATGTACACGTTGTACACGTACATACATGTACAAACAGATTCGCAAATTGCGACGGATTAACGTAGGTGCATTACCATTGTGCATGCGTGCCGAGAACGGACGAGGATGAAGCCTGGGCACGAAACGGCAAGAGAGAGAATTTAAATTATGTCAAACTGACTTCTTTCTTCTCCTCGATATCCACTAAACCACTAATTTTCCCCGAAATAATAATCCTGACTTTACTCGAGGCAAATAAGATGAAATATTACACGTAGAAGCGAAAATATAGAGAACTACATCTGGAGAGATAAGGTATCAGTAATAATATTACTTACAGGCCTAGGTCCTTAAGACAATTAAAATAACAATAATGATAATATTACATATGCGGATACGGTTTTAAGACTCCTGCTTACTGATTGCCGTGTCCGCATTGAGTGGCAACTTAATTCAAAACATGACAACAAGAATCGCATTCCACATATCGACGCAAATGTGTGAATGTATGTTATGCTTTTTGACATGTCCAAAAGCTAAATTATTTTTGTAACGTACAGCGTCATTTTTCGTTTTAGTGCAGAATTTTTATATTTGAAATAATTGTCGTGGTGTTAAAATATACAGAAGACTCCCCTTTTTTTAATTTAATATGCGAAAGCAAATATTTATTTCAATTCGGTAGCTGTCAAACAACTTGTTTTCATCCTTGATTAGACACGATTCAATTTAATGTATGCGAGTTATTTATTGATTGCCCAAACAAGACAGGAGTTTCCGATATATTTTACGAGCTTATTTTATCGATTATAAATGCTATTTTAGTGAAAAATATTTTTATCTTAAGGTACGTTACAAAAATTTTTCACGGTACATTTTTTCACTTCTAACGTTATTATTCCAAGATGGCTGCTGTGCCTGAACAGGAGCTTTAAGAAGATAATTTTAGTAGATATTATTTTTCAATATTTTATTTGTAATTAAATGCTCGTTTCATTAGCCTAGAAATGCCAATTGCCGAGCAAAAAGCGTACTATTGGCACTTAATTAATTAAGTGCCAATGGTATGCTTTTTGCTCGGCAATTGGCATTTCTAGGCTATTGAAACAACGCATCGGGGAAATTCCTTCAAAATTTTCGTTTGTTTCGATGAAGCGATTTTTAACAAGAGACAAAGTGTCATAAAAAGTTTTAATATCTTAAGTATACCTGACATATATGAATTTTATGCGATATTGAGTGGTAAATTAATAAAAATTGTGAAAAATGAATTTTTATCCGTACGCACTTGATACCACTTGATCCAATGGTTTCTGTATTATCGTTGTAGAATCTATTGATGCGCATCGAGTCGATTCGAGATTTCATTCTCAGCCTTCGGATAGGCACGGTCCCTTACGCACACGAACACACAGACAAATATTCTCGTGCCAATACAGAGGCGGAGCCTGATTGGCCTGACAAGTCGTAAACTTGCTCAGTGAAACTCACCGATGAGGTACCATTCCCCGTTCATGATGAAATCGGATAAGTCACCACCCTCCTCTGAGTTGAGTACCAGATCGAGCTACCAAGGTCAAAGTTTGATTAAGATGGGCACGTATCTACACGATGGGGACATTTTGTTAGGTAACTCGAAGCCGAACGTGCGCATGCAGCTACGAATTCCGTTCGCGTCTATAACTACGTCTACTACACGTCTACGAGATGGTGCAAACCGACGTTACGTGATAAGGCGTGCAACGGGAGAATCCGTTCGGCCGTGGGACGGTGCGAAGAAGAGACGGTGATTTCTCTCTCGTGAGGCAGCGCGCCTTGCGCGCCTGGAAAGACGCGTTCGTGCGGTCGACAGGCGGAAAACTGGCTCTTTACCGTTGCTGAAAATTGCTTTCCGCGTGGTCAAGAAGTCCTCGTCTCCGATGTAGGCACGCAACTTGCTCGCCTTCACCCGCGAATGCGTAGCAATCACATAGCCGCTTTACGCGAAACTTGAAATCGTATCGTCGCGAATATTTGATAAGGCGACGTATATTTCTGCCACTTCTGCGAAACTCGCAGGGGGGGGGAACGGAAATTGGAAGTTGACTCTAGCTTTCCAAGAGCTTCAAGCTATTACATATTTGGCGATACTGGATTTTCAAAGATTCAAAAAATTTTGCGAGACTTCGGTAGATCCCTGCTCGACAAGTTTACGATATTATAAACTTGGATATTTATCTAAAAGCTTTGCAAAAGATTAAGTCAATTTCTATCCGTCTGTATTTTCGTACGAATAATATTAGTTTTAAGAACAATTTCGTTCACGTAGAGTTTCCGCTCGATTACTCCGCACAGATATTTTAATTGAAATCCGATAAGAGTTGACCAAAAAAAACTTGACAGCCTGCTACTCCCCTATGCGGATGTCGCGCTGCACAATTATATTAAACTAATTAAACGAAATCTTGAACAAAAGATTCCTGCCGCTTCCATCTTCTCCGCTTCTATTTGCACGGATGATTGGAGGACGGGAAATAAAGTGACGATGCCGGAGATACCTTGAGAAGATTTTCCAGTTTCTTTTAAGTCCCGTGTCGCTCGCTGGCTATCTGTTGCTCTTTGATCTGAAGCCAAATAGGATATGGTTTGCTTGGGCCATCGAAGGCTCCGAAGAAAAAGCCCTTTTCTGATGGACAGAATTATCCTGGGCGATTCAATATTGAATCACTTACGGAAACGCGAGATCGTGCAGATCGATGTAAATCGCATTAATCAAGTGGGGGTCACCTTGTGCCAATTTTTTTTCTCATAAATGCAGCGACATTTTCAAATAAATGATTAATCAACTAAGGGCTCTCGATATTAAAATTAACGAGTAACAAGAAAGTGGACTTTAAGACTCGCGATTAGTCAGTTAGCGTGCGTGAGTTAACGTTTAATTAATAATTTAATGCAAATTATAAATCGTACGTTTCGACTCTAATTTCTAGTCCGAATATTTGGCAGACTGTGAAAGTTAACGGAGTTTTTTTTCCTTGACAATTACACTATCTTTGTACATTCAATTTAAAAATTCTCATCTTATGTGTGCGTGCGCTCATGTGAGATTATCTGATTTGTCTATCACCACGCGTCGCTGAGGATGGCTCAAAGAAGAGCCGAAACATACGACTGATGTGATTTATAATTTGTATTGAACTGGTTAACTAAATATTGCACGACGTCAGTTCACGCAGGAATAACCGCGCTGATTTTCAAAGCTCGCGTTTCTTTGTTATTCGTTAATTTCGGTATTTTATCGTAGCTTTACAAAACACCTTTTCGTTCCAATCTCTCTCGCGATATCGACAAACGTTATACCTTGACGGGGAGAGGGATGTTATTATTCGTAAAGACGTTATTCTCCAATATTCCCGGGCACAATGACGGTAAAACGAATTCGATAAGACCTCAATAGTCCTCGATGCACCTCGTACATCTTCGGGAGACGAGACGAGGAGACGCCTCGTCTTTTTCTGGATATATGCTAAGATCTACGTCGCGCTCCTGCTGAGAAAATTGTAAGGGGGTTCCCGATGTAGCAATCACATTTGCAGTTCGACCGTCGGTTACGTTTATTTTCTCGTTCTCGAGAAGATTCCGCATCCGGTCTGTCGTTGACTTATCCAATCAAATCAGTTCGTTCATCCTCTCGCCATCGTCCTCTCTTTTTCCCGTCCAAATTGAAAGCTCTCGCGATCAACCCCCGCAATAATTCCGGCGCGCCGCCGGTGAAACAGCGGGCGCCTGTATCGTGAAATTCGTCGCGAAAATTACGACGGATACACCGGGCTCGTAAAGCTGGCCCCTCATAATTCATCGCGACACGTAGATTTTGCTTCATAGCTTAGCTCGGCCCACGGTGCGGCTACACGTGGTTTACTGCGCCAACGCGATGCATCGGGAATGGACGTCTCGAGATGTAAATGCGCTGGCTGCGGCGACCCCTTAACTAATTAAATTCAATCTTCATATATAACGCCTCTTATCCGACAGGCTTAATCAAGCCGATGACGTTAAGAACCGGCCCCGCAGGGTCGGCTCTTCTTGTACGTGCAATCGAGTGTCTCGTCTAATAATCATGGCCTCGGGTGATTACATTCGGGAGCGAGCCGCTTTTCGCCGTCGACCGCAGATCCCACCTGTAAAATCTCAAATCGTAACCGATATAACTGCGAGGCCGGTTCGCACGCGGGACAAATGCCCGGCCCACATTTCCGTCGGACTTGAACAAACGTAATGGTTATCTTCGTATCGATGCGCAACACCGAAATACGAGCCCGTCCAAGTTATATCGGTTTCAATTCGTAACTGTAAATGGATGCGTGCATGCAAACATTAATCTGTAATCAATTAGAAATGATGTTAGTTTTACGTCATCTCGATGCTTCTCGATTGCAACGTAAACGATAATTAAATAAACGCTCCGGTAACTTTGGAGGTATATGTACCGATCGCAGACTCGATCTCTGTCCGAGAGACCGTTCCTGATTCCGCGAAAAAACTCTCCGAAATCTCGACACCGCACGATCGCGCGCCAGCGGTCGTCGGCTCTCGAGAGCTTTCCAACGGTCTCGAGAGCTATCTCGCGGCGCTACCGAAGGTGGTGACCCGACGGGACGAGACCACGCGCGAAGAAACGTGGCCCGCAGCGGACTCGATGCTGAGAACGGAACGTCACGGTCGAGGTCGCGCTCAGCGGCGTACAATCGCGGGGACTACGTTTAAAGCCTGTTGAAAACGACGATCGCAATTGACCATCATGCTCCTTGTCAACGAGCTTACACGCAATTCACATTCAAGCGTTCACACATGAATACACGTACACGAACGCCGTATCTGTTTTCTCTTGTGATCGGGGGATCGGAACCCTGCGAGAGCCGCTCGGTGCAAGGCTCGATTCTCGATGCCTCCGGATAGAAGGAGCCGTCGTGCGTTGCCCGCGCGGGATTACTTTCGCGCGCCGAAATTCGAAACCCGCCGACGCCGCTCCGGTTTCGAGCCCCCGTTTTGTAGTTTACTGACGCGCGCGCGAACACGTGGACGCGCGACACAGGGATGAGGGGGGGACAGGGTAAGTCTGCGTGTGAGCGTTGGTTATCACCTACGCACCGTCAAGAAAGCATGCAAGCTACGCCGCGCGACGACACGAAACGGCCATTAATTTTCTGTACATATATATATATACACACACACATGACATGCGACACGCACGCTGTACAGACACATCAATCAATACGGCTGATGTTGATTCGTTGAGTGACGGAGGGCGAAATGGATCGAACAAAGTTCGGGTGTACGACATATAGACGACATAAGTCTTCAAGTATGGCACAGATACAGATATCACAATTTATATGTCATATGGGGGTTGGGGGAGAGTAGTCGATATGAGTCAAGGGGGGGGACGGGGCGGGGAGAGATAACGTTTATATGCGGCAGAGTAATTGGTGGAAATGCGCTCGGACTGCATTTCGATAGGGGGGGGAGGCAGTGCAACCTGCAGCGACGGCGACGCAGCGAAACGGGGCTGTTGCGGGCACCTCGGCACCTGTCCGTCGAGTCACGATGGATCGCGCCGCCCGTAAATTCCGCGGCGAAATACGTGGGTGCGTGCGTGCGAAAACGTGTATCGGGTGTCCTCGCGTTACCCCGTTGTCGAGAGTCTCGCTGTTCCGCCCAATTGGATCGGGGTGTTTAATAGCCGCATTTTAATTGATTCCCGTGCAGCTTTTAACGAGCCCTCCAAACGCGCCTCGAAATCCGCTTCGAAGCATCCGAAAAATCATCGTCGGGAGAAGATATTCGCGCGGGCGGTTCCTCACGGGGGGGGGGGAAAGAGGGGAAAAGGATCCTCGTTGCGCGCGATTGAATCGTTCCGGTCGATGAAGCCCGGTTGCTCAACGAGGCCGCGATTTAACGAGAGCGAGAGACTTCCGAATGTTTTTCCAACATTTCGAATTCACCGGCGCGGGACGACCGGAGTGAACTCGCACGAGGACGCGCAAACGAGCCCCCGGTATTGATCATCGAATCTCGGCCGATCGTTCCGCTCGTAAATACCGAATTCGCGATATCGTATTCCGCGGATGCGCGCACATATGCACGCGCACGTGCGTACGCAGTTTGTGCTCTCCGCGGTCGGTCGGACGGGAGAGTCGTTTCTGCGTGATATTGAACGAGGTAAGGGCCAACCAACACGCGCGTCGTTCGATTCCTCGCGTAGGGCGGCAGTGATCGATACCGCCGCGCTGCTGAAATGTGCAACAAAAGCCTCTCTCTCTTTCCTCCTCGCGTCTCGCGACGCGAAAATTTTCGGCCGCGCGAGACCCGAGGACGAGGGGTAAACCGCTGACCGAAATCATGGGATCAATTCTGTGTCTTACGCTATACAGGGTGTCCCAGGAGGAAAGGTCAATATTCTGGGAGGTGATAGTATCGGTCATTTTAGGCAAAAATGTTGATATGAATGTATGTCCCATTTCCCACTGTTTCCCAGATAGATCGAGCTACTTGAATGTCTCGTTTACTTCTTTTTCTATACACTTC